ACTTCAGGCTGAAAGAATATTACCAATACCCTACCTACTGCCATTCTTCTTGCTTCCTTTTTCTCCATAAACAATATAGGGTATTGGTCTGAATTGCTCAACTTTTGTATAAATATTACACAATATCCTTAGGCAGATGCAACTTGCTTTGCATGTCCAACTTTGCTTTTCATATTAATCCTTATGCAAAATATGCAGTTTTAGTTCTTTCACTTTTTTAGTAAACAAGGGAGCTTAAAAAACTGTGGAACAATTCCTTATCATTTAATTCCGATTTTCCATGAAGTCCCTTGTACTAGTCCATAATTCAAATGTATGCATGTCTCCATTTTCTGTTTATAGTTAAGTGCAGGTTATTTTAATTGTTTGCTATTACTAACAAGTTGGGCTAAAAACTACTTATATATGTCTCTTTGGACGCATGACAATTACTCAAGGGCAGAAGCTGACAATTTTCTGTCAAGGGCCAGCAGTAAGTATTTTAGGTTGGGTGGGCCCTATGTGCTCTGCCTCAGTGAATGAACTATTACTGCAGTGCAGAAGCAGCTATGCAAATGCACGGCCATAGCCATGCACTGGTAAAACTCTATACAAACAGGATCTGACTTAGGAACAGCAGTAACCAGATACCCATTCTCACTCACTGCCTTTGAGGCGATGCCGACTCCTGGGGACATACAGGACAGGGTAGAACGGCTTCTGTGGGTTTCAAAGAATGCAGTTCTTTCAGGGAATAGAAAGCCTTGGCTTTCTCCTTCAGGGGGGCTGGTGGGTTTCAAACATGACTGTGTGGTTAGCTGCCCAATGAGTAATTCACCATACTATTCTAGAGTATATGAGGGGGTACCCCCCCAAAAAAACCCATGCTCATTTGTTGTTGTTTTTTTTTTTTTTGATGTGAGGTGGATAGTGCATTTGGAGATTGTTCTACCAGGTCAGACTGTTAATCAATCTTTCTATTTATAGGTTCTGAAAAGATTGCCTAACAGTGTGTGACAAAAGAGGCCTACATTTGCGGCAGATGGGGGATTGGTTTTGCCACCACAACAATGCAGCTGCTCATGCAGCCACCTCAGTGCACCAGTTTTTGGCAAAAAATGGCATGCCTTTCTTGCCCCATGCAACTGACTTCGCTCCACGCTACTTCCTTTTGTTTCTCTGAATGAAGAGGGCCATGAAAGGACAGCGATTTGATGACATAAAAGACGTGAAGAAAAAAAAATGAGGGAGGTGCTGTCAGTTATCCAAACAGAGGAGTTTGAAAAATGTTTCAAGAATGGAATTGTAGATTTGCCAAATGTATTAAGTGGAATGGAAAGTACTTTGCAGGTGATAAGGTTGTTTGGTAAAAAAATTTAAATAGGGTATGGAAAAAAATTTAAATACATACCTTTGAAAAAACATTCCATTTTTGGGGCATACCCCCCTGTATATATCTAAATGATTTATCATTAAAACAAAAAATGACTTGCTGTGGTCTGATGTATGGCTAGCCCATGTGTGCCAGGATAAAACGGCGCTCTCGGATGTCCAGTGTGGAGTTTGGGGAAGAAAGTAGATCCTGAGGCCTTTCATTTGAGGTGCCTCTGGGGAGACTCGAACCTCCAATGCTTCTGCCAGCTGAGTGTGCTGACCGCACAGCGCAGGACTCCCTGCTTGTGCATCTTGATTCTTTCCGGTTGACGAACTCAAAAGGCTTGTATCTACTTTCACTCTGATCTTCAGAGTAAAAGGTGCCATTTCCTTAACAAAAAGCTTTGCACACTGTAGGGCTTAATTTTTTTCAATCGGATGTGTGCAAAATGTATTACATTTTAATCTGCATTTATTAATTACTGGTGAGGCTACGGAACTTTTTGTTTACTGATAATTGGGGTTTCCTCCCTTGTAACTGTTCAGTTTTTTTGGCCCATTTTCCTATTATGCTGTTTGTTGCTTTTTGATTTGCAAGAATTCTTAGAATCTATATCGGTGGTTCTCAACCTTCCTAATGCCATGACCCTGTTGTGGTGACCCCCAACCATGAAATTATTTTCGTTGCTACTGTTATGAATCGGGTGACCCCTGTGAAAGGGGTTATTCAAAACTGCCCCCCCCAAGGGGTCGCGACCCACAAGTTGAGAACCACTGCTTTAGCCCCAACCTGAATTTGTTCTAGGTGCAAGGATCCCTTGTTTGTTCCATGACAAAAATTCCTTCCCTGGCTTTTTAAATATTGATGGACGTCTTTTCGTTCTTGCTCATTGTTGGTATTTTAAATCTTTACATAACGATTGTGTTATCCTTACCACTTCATTTCGTTTTTGTTCTTTATTGTTTCTGTTGGGTTTACCAGTTTGTGAGCACAGAGGAGTGGATGCACAGAGATAATAAGTGATGTGAGGGTTTGTAGGGGATGTAGGGCTGAGTGGGTGGGAGATGGGGAGAGAGGATCTCAGGAGTAAACAATGAGGGCAGGAGGGTGAGAGAGCACTGGAACCGAATGATTAAACAACTCATTTTAAAGGTGATTTAATCATGGGGGAAAAGACAGAAAATGTTCTGAAACTGATTGTACAATGCTTGACATGATTGAATGATTCCATTGTTTAATATGTGGATTATGTGCCAATAAAACTGGGGTGGTGGGGAGTGCTTATATTAAAAATTTAAAAAAAAGATGTACAGCCTTGAAAACTCCCGGGACAGTTCTACTTTGTGGTACAGGGTGGTAGGAGTGAGAAATGGACTTGATGGAGGTGAGTTTGGTGGTTTAGTAATCATGTGCTGTGCTACCAAAGTGATACTTCTTTTTTGCCTCTTGTGGATGCCATCACTAACTCTGGTCGTGTTGCATTTTGAAGCCATGATGTACTTCATGACAATATTTTTAAAAAATTAAACAGATGATACTACAACACTCAAAAGATGCATGATGTACGAGACTAGATGTTCAGCTTACAAGCTGAAGCATACACTGTTATACAGCAAACATTACAGATAGAAAGAATAATATCTATATAAGCCAGTAACAGGCTTTACTACAACCATTAAGACACAAGTTATCTATACACTATACTATTATACATTTGGCAGCATAACATTGCTTTGCATGCAAGTCATGAGATACATGTATTGTGTGGGGAGAGGCTAAGTTCTGTACCTAGTATTCTCTGATCAGGGTATCTGGACTCTATTAAAACCTCACAGGACTGTGGCTGAATATGTGCTTGGGCATTATTTGAAGAGATGTTATGAAGTTCATGACTCTATACCTTGCTGTTTCTCTTCCTTAACTTGCTAAATATGTTTTCTTTTCATGGAGAAAACTGATCACCAGGTATAGACTAAAAAGTACATATCCAGGGCAGTTTTCAAAGTCCAGAATACTCTCTCTTGGTACACTGGAGGAGGAAGCTGAAGGATTTGGAGAGAACGGAATGTTTGTCATCACTCTTCCCAGAACACAGGGATTGGTGTGAGACATTCTGCTGGCTCCTCGGCTGAACAACTGGTTAATGACTTCCAAGTACCCACACTCTAAGGTGCCAATTAATTAATTAAGCAGATACTTACCGAGTATCATTTCATATACTTGGTACTCTAAAGTAAACTTTTAGGGTAAAAGTGCATTCACTACACAGTGTCATTTGGTTTTCACAACCTACCTGATGGATCCTCATTTTACACGAGACAGTGAAGCTCAGGGGCCTACGTTAAGTGCTAGTAAACAGGGGTGTCAGGATGTAAAGCCCGGTCCTTTCAGTTTTTAATCTAGTGCCTTTTCCATCATACTACTACACAATACTCTTTCTGTGGAAAGAAACTTAAAATGAAGCAAAAAAGGGATTTCTAAATTCTTATAAAAGAGCTTAAGTTTAAAATTCAATGGAATTGGATTTGAATCCAGTTTATGTTATTTATTAGCTGTTATTGACAAGCTACGTAACTGTTAAATTTCAACGGCTTACTCAGGAGTATCAGAGGCTCTGTGAGGATTGTAGGTATTATATTGAGATGTATGATCAATTCTAGCCTTAATGCCTATGGTTATAATCACATTTTGGAGGGAGCTCTCTGTCATCTAATCAACAGGATTAAGGTGGGGTAGATGAAGTCTTCACTTTACTAAAGGGTGTGAATCTTTTGTTTCCTTGGGGGTACGGTCTGCTGAAAGACAAGATCACGCCTCCATATAAAACAGCGATCTCAGAAACAGGAGGAAATCCTAGGTTGTCACGGAATAAGAGCTACCAGTGGAGCACAGTCTAGATCTCTGTCTCCTGTGGGGGCCAAGACCAGAGGCACCAGAGGCTACGACATCCAGACCATGTGAAAGAAAATAGTTACAGCACCAAGACGATGAGCCTGTGAGACAGAGATGCAGGCTGGCTTCCTGGCCCATGGAAGCAGAGGCCAAGGGACCAGGTGACTGACAGAGACTTGGGTGCTGGCTGAGGAGAGATGGTGCTGTGGGCCAATGACTGTATCCTTAATGTTTCTGAGCCCAGGTTGCGGTAACATGTTAACTACCCTACTGCCTGTGAGTTCTGTTTGGCAGTTGCAATGGATTATGGAACCCAGCAGAAAAGTGGAGTCTTGTGGGATGAATGGTTGGTATAAGAATAGGGGAAAGAAAAATGGGGGTGGGAGTATCTCTGACCTCTGCCTTTTAAAATCTTTTGACCTCTGTCTTGGGGCAAGTGGGTGGTGTTGGAGTCTCCTCCTCCCTTGTGTAGCCAGAGAAGGTCAGATATGGCCCTTGTGCTGTTTTACATGTATGTAGCACAGAAGAGCAGCTCTGGCAAATAATAAATGCATCACGAAACATGATCATTGTATTGTTACCAAACTGTACACATGAAAATGTGAACTGGTAAATGCGTTATATAAATATACTCTGGTAACAAGTTAAAAAAAAAAACGAAGGAAAAAAAAACCAACAACAAAAAATAATAAAGGCATCATAAGTAGTATTGTTTTAAGGGCAAGTGACAAGAAAGAGAAAAAAAAAATCATACCAATTTTGGTAGCACTATAGATGTTTTCAATAGGAAATATTTCTCCTAGTCCATATAAGAGAACTTTGGCGAGAGCTGGAACCAGCTGGGTGGTAGTGATCAGAACATTTACACAGTTTTTTCTGGAAGAGAAAGAGAAAGAAGTTTTAAAAAGGTAAAAACTAACCTTAGAGCAAAAAATTCACAAAGGTCAGTTCTCTAGGAGAAAACTATTAAAAATTAACCTTAAAAGGCATAGTAGTTGTTCAGTGTCAACACTCAAAATTACTGTTCTAAATAATTCATATTTGTTAGTATTCTTTATTTAAAAGCAAACATTAAATTCGTTTGTATCCCTCATAGTCTTGGTCTTATTCGATCATTCTAGTTCACTAGGCCTTCCGGTCAACACTGCGAATCTGTGCTACTGATACTGTATTACAGAGAAACAAACAAGCAGAGAGCTTTCAGTAGCTGTGCTATTTCATGAGTGTAATTCAGCCCGTGAGTGAGATAGGAAGCTTCTCTGCTCCGTACACAGTAACAACAGATTTACTGCATACAGCCTTTAACTTTGCTGGATACCTACCACGTCCTGTCATGGAATCACTTGTTCTAGTAGGCTGTGCACTTGGAGTTACTACACTGACAGAGTGGCAGGAAGGTATTCGTGTAGATATGACTGTATTTCTCATTCTACACGTTAAACTGAAATCTCCTCATCTGCTTATAGTACCAGTTTTCTTTTGACTTGTCTATCCTTAAGTTGGTTTGGAACATTTCGTGGAACTTCCTGTGTTTGGTACATTTGTGATATGTCTCCTACATGTGTTCTGTGATATACTAGGGCCATCTTTTGGCCTAGAGATTATGGGATACTAAGCAACAAAATAACAACAACAAAACAAAACTAAGGGCATCATTAGTGTTATCCTAAAGGCAAAAAGTAAGATGACGGGAAAAGAGTTTAACAAATGTAATTGTTAACACTTTAATGTGTGCTCTAAGTATAAAATGATTTTGCCTCTATCAACCTAAATACAGTTCTGCATCACTGTGGCAGTTACATAATCTGGTGTCAATCTGAAGATTCAGAATGAAGGGGTGGAGTCTAGGCTGTCAATCAGGTCACAGCCAATGCGGCCTCTGTGTGGGCATGGCCTTCTCCTGAGGATTCTGGGAACTCCTGTATTCCTCCCTGGAGGCGGGAGACTCTCTCTCTCTCTGCTTACTCCCCTGGAGACTCTCTACTGACAAGGCTCACTCCCTGCGAGACATCCCTGTGGAGAAGCCACATGGAGAGGTGCTGATGGATCCAGACCTCTGGAGCTGGAGAAGCCACACAGAGACCCCTGCCGGCGCTAAGATGCTTACACCAACACTGGATCCACAAGACTTCCCTCCCACTAGACTGTGATCTTCCTGTATTTGGTGTCATTGCATGTGTTTCATGAGTCTGAAGAGGACTTTACAGATTGGTATCAGACATAGGGGCTAATATCGGACTTAAGGACTTGCTCTGGACTGGGCTGTTTTCTCAATATTCATCTGCTCTTGTATATAAAGCTCTCTCATACACATATGAGTGTCTATGGATTTGTTTCTCTAGTCTACCCAGACAAACACAATCACTTAACCCAGGGCTACTTAAACCTTCCCCCTTGCAACCTATTTTGCCTGAGACATTTGCTGGGGGAGGAAAGAGTGTGTCTTGGAGAGGGTGAGATCGAAAAGTACCATGTCATACCTGGACTGGATGAGAAGTAAAGATTTTAAGGCTGTTCCTAACCAGGAATCTGTTAAAACTTCAATTTCTGCTCTTAGTCTCTGCAATGCTTCCTTTCTTTGTGGGCTGAGGAGGCCTTTGGGAATAAAAGCAGACACATTTATTACTTTGTCAACATATCCTTGCTGACACTGAAGAAGCAATTCATAAATTCAATCTAGAAATGGTGTGAGTCACTGAATTACTGAGCTAGTCTATTTATTTCCACAGAGAACCCCTCTGAGCAGCTGGCAGGTTTGAACTGCTGACCTTGAGGTTAGGAGTCCAATGCTCACCCAACAATGTCACCAGAGCTGTTTTAATGTCTTTCTTTCTTAAGATGCCAAAGCCTAGGGATGAAATGGAACCTGCCTAAGACTGCACTGAAAGGTGGTTGCTTTCGATCTCAGGCACTAACTCCCATAGTGACTAGCTGACATTCTGAGCTGAATGACCAATTCTCTGAATGTCATTTACTTGTTACGTATTTTGGAAAGACTTTAGCAGATTAAATATGGGATGGGACCAAACAATTGGACATGAGCAAAACAATTAATCTGATCAAAGACACAGGACTTAAAATAAATTTGACTGAATTTTCCATAGTGAAGGTAAAAAGAGAGACCATGTATTTTAAAAGCCAATGGCGTTTCTGTGAGTAGAACTAGGAGTAGTATTTGTTCTCAGATTGATGGGTTTGCGATGCAAGACTAGAATTAGGTTTACTTAATATTTCTGATAAAATGAAACAAAATAAGACAGTATAGTTAAGTAGTACATGATGTGGTATTTTTGTTAATCCACATTTTGCAAAACATAAGTGGAAATTACTTTTAATCTGCTTCACTGAGTGCTACACATCACTTTCTTCAGGAGGTCATGTCTAGGAACCATCCCGGGAAAGGACCAGAGAACTGGGTTGTATATGGAACTAACAGAAGAAAGACGCTTGTCTGTGAAAGAGGAAAGGTAGAGACATGGAGTGGCAAACATAACAGGTAACAGCTCTGAATTGTGAGAAGATCTAATCAATAAAAAAGGGACTGAGTCGGGGTCTGAAATCCTTGGAGCTTATGATTTTTATCTGGTTCACGAGGGCTGAAAAGGAATGAACAAACCCACTCTTCAAAGGCCTGTTTCTAGTTTCGGCTCCACATGCTGTGGTGTGGTCACTAATGTGCTTTGTGACAATAGTAAGGTGACCCCGTAACTCCCACATTTGTTATTATTCCTATTAAAAGTGAGGGGTTTAGATTTGATCTCAAATGCCTCTTTTAATTTTAATAATCTAAGTAATTAATTCTAAATAATATTAGGCACAGTGGCATCTGACACTTGTATTTCTGGGTAGAAAGAAATTTTAAGGTTCTTCAAATCACAGTACAACCTGTAATACCACAGTATTACAGTAGATCACCAGGTCTTTCTACTTGTGAACTCTGGGTGGATTCGAATCACCACATACAACAACAGGCCTCCTCTCCCAAAGAATCTGAATTAAACCTCCTATTTTTAAACAGTTTAAATGGTACTTTGACAAACATTTATAAGCAGTTGCCAGGCAGATCTAAGGAATCCTTGAAAAAGAAAACAGGAAATCACAAACACAATTAGACTGCTTGTACACGAACTTACCACCCACGTTGCTTTTATGCTTATCATAGATTTCTCTCACTTTTCGGTAGCGGAAAGCCAGTTTCCTCATCCAGTCCACACCGCCTTGGACACCCACTGAGGAACCATGGCTACCACTGCCTCCCGAGCCACTGAAACCATCTGTTGAGAAACTGTAGTTGCTGCAGAGAGAAAGGAAGGATGACAAAAATGAAAGCCTGTACTGGATGGGACTGTTGGCTGAATGCCACCGAAATTCTATCCCATCTTGGCTAATCATCAGGGCTAATGGCTTTGGAAATCTTGACCCTTATTTCTGTGTGTCAGAGTCCAGCTTCCCTTAGCCCTCTATCTCCTTCGTAGTACCTCTATTAGAGAAAAAAGGCGGAAAGAACAATGTGAGCACCAGCATTCCTTTGAGAACCTTAAACAAAAAATGAATGGCAGTGAAAAGCAAACAATAGAAGTTAAAGTATAGAAAGATGGAAGGTAATAACCCCAAATGCTAGTCATATGAAGATGACAGGGATGTTTTTCTTTAGTATACCGAGTCCATGGGCCACTGCGGAACCCTGAGTATGGACTGAAACAATGCAGTGGAAATGATGTGAAGATTTTAGAGACTAAGCGTCTCTTGCTTTCACCCGTTTGGCACTTACTCTGGAAGAATTCATTCTGTGAGAACACTCATGCTGTCACATGAAGGGACTCACCAGAGAGAGAGAGACTGAGACCTACTGCCCCCAGAGGGTAAGCAGGCGCTCCAGCTCCAGCAGAGGTGTCACATGACTCTACTCCAGCCGCACTGTGATTACAACCTCAGAGACTCTGACTCTGAACTACCTAGCGCAGCCAGTCTCGATTTCCTGCACCACACTAAGTAGGAGGTGCAGGAGGATGTTCAATGTTGTAAGTTACTAGTGATTTGTCATAAATTAATAGATGACTAACGCTTGTACATTCACACAGACTGGGGGGAATTAATAGTTCCTCAGTAAAGATTTCAAAATGGGCAACAGCTCTCTTTCTGCTTGGCCATTGACACATAATCCAGACCGAGTAAGACCAGGAAACTTAAGAGGCCAGGAGGGCAAGCATGGAACATCCAGGAAGGAAGCAGGGGTACTACCAGTGACACGCCTCACCGCTGGCGCAACTTGGACAAATATTATCCAGGTTATGTTGGGATAGTTGTAATGAGGCAATAGCACCTGAAGAGGAACCAGCGCTTCTGCCCAACTGTCAACCTCAATAAACTGTAGAACCTGGTCAGTGAGCAGACAAAGGTAAATGCTGTCACGAATAAGCCCTGAGTCACTCCCACCACTGATGAGGTGTGATCAGGAAGGATAAGTTCCCAAAGCAGCCTGTCATCATGAAGGCCAGGTTTTTCAGCAGCACTGAGAGAAAATCAAGGGTGTTTGGGCAGGGAAGATTATATGTGGTAGCTTGAAGCTACAAGCAAGTTTAATTAAATAGTAAATGCTAATAAATAGAATTAAAGACATCTCGATTCTGTCAAAAGTCAAAATACTGTTCAATGAGTAAAGTGTGAAATTCTTAACCGAAGAAAATAAAGCTTCCAAGAGATAAGATATTTGCAGTTAACCTGAAATAGCAGAGAAAAACACCCTGGGTAGAGTTGATCATAAACTTCCTTAAGCCAGGCTTTTACTAAGAAGTCTCTGAAGAGCTCTTCACCCAAATACAAAAAAATTCACATTCTTTTTAAACCCGCATAGCACATATTCGAAGACAGACCACATGCTGGGGCATAGTCAAATCTGCATAAATTTAAGCACATTGCTATCATACAGACCTCTCTCTCTGACCGCTGTGCCATAAGGCTGGAAATCAACAAAAGCAAGACGAAGAAAACAAGAGCAAACAATTGGAGGATAAATAACTCTCTATTGCAAAAGGAGTGCATACTAGCACAGATCAGAGATGAAATCAGGAATTTTCTAGAAACCAACGAGAATGAGAACACGATGTACCAAAACTTATGGGACACAGGATAGGCAGTTATCAGAGGAAGTTTCATAGCAATACATGCACACCTGAGAAAGGAAGAGAGACTCATGATTGATATGCTTGCACAAAATTACAACAACTGGAGCAGAGTCAGCAGGACAATCCTACTAATAAAAAAAGAAAATAATAAAAATCAGGGCTGAGATTCAGGAGAGGGAAAATAAGAAAACTATGGAAAAAATTAATGCTGCTAAAAGTTGGTTCTTTGAAAGGATAAACAGAATCGACATACTGCTGGCAAACCTAAACAAAGAAAGGAAGGAACAAATTTCAATAGCAAGAATGAGGGATGAAGCAGGGGACATTACAACAGACTCTAATGAAATCAAAAGGATAATTACACAGTACTAAGAAGGACTGTACTCCAATGATTCAACAACTTGGAAGACATGGAAAAATTCTTGAAAAAACAATCCCTCCCTAGACTATCCCTGATGGACATCAACAATCTTAACAGACCCATAGCAATAGAAGAAATAGACAAGGTCATCAAGGGATTACCAACAAAAAAATTCCCTGGACCAGATGGCTTCACTGGAGAATTCTACTACGCATTCAGGGAAGAACTGACACCAATCCTACACAAACTCTTCCAGAACATAGAAAAAGACGGCAAACTCCTGAACTCTTTCTATGAAGTTAGTATAACTCTGACACCGAAACCGGGCAGGGATCCCACAAGAATTGAGAACTACAGACCAATATCCCTAATGAGCATTGATGCAAAAATCCTTAACAAAATACTGGCTAATAGAATACAAAAGTATATAAAACAAATAATTTACCATGACCAAGTGGGATTCATACTAGGGATGTAGGGCTGGTTCAACATATGAAAGACCATTAGTATCATTCGCCACAGTGACATGAAAAATTTTAAGAACCACTTGATAATATCGATAGATGCGAAAAAAGCATTAGACAACATCCAACACCAATTCCTGTTTACGATACTCAAGAAGATAGGAATGGAAGGAAATTCCTAAATACAAGCTATACATGGAAAACTAACAGCCAATGTGGTAATCAATGGAGGAAAGACGAACACAATCCCACTGAAAAAGAGGACCAGATAAGGATGCCCCATGTCCCCACTCTTATTTAACATCGTACTCAAGGTCTTAACTAACAACATGAAGCAAAGAAAATACATCAAAGGTATTCACCTGGGGAAGGAAGAGATGAAACTATCATAATCACAGATGATATGATTTTATATATGGAAAAATCCCAAAAGCTCCACAAGGGGAGTACTGGAAGCAATAGAGGAGTTTGACAGAGTGGCAGGATACAAGATCAACAAACAGAAGTCCATCGGACTGTTATACACACCAGAAAAGACCACAGAAGAAGAGATCAAAAAGGTGGTACCCTTCAAAATAGCCGAGCACAAATTGAAATATCTAGGGATATACCTGACTAAAAGAACAAAAGATTTATATGAGGAAAACTACAGAACACTATTACAAGAAACCAAAAGTAACCTCAACAAATGGAAGAATATCCCATGCTCGTGGATTGGAAGACTCAATATAGTAAAGACGTCAGTTCTGCCCAAGGCACTATATAAGTGTAATGCAATCCCGATACAATTACCCTCATCTTTCTTCAAAGTACTGGAAAAGCTGATTACCAACTTCATATAGAGAGGGAAGAAGCTCAGAATTAGCAGATAACTGCTCAAGAAGGACAGCGTTGTAGGGCTTGCTTTACCTGACTTTAGCACGTACTATACAGCCACAGTGGTCAAAACCGCACAGTAATGGTATAATTATAGCTACTCAGACCAATGGAAAAGAACTGAAAACCCAGAAATAAAATCATCAACATACAGACAACTGATCTTTGATAAGGGCCCCAAAAATATCAAATGGGAAGCGGATATCCTCTTCAACAGTGGTGCTGAAAAAAATGGATATCTACCTGCAGAAAAATGAAGCAAGATCCTTACCCACACCATGCACAAGAATAAACTCAAGGTGGATCACAGACCTTGAGGTAAAACCTCAAACTATTAGGGCCATCAATGAGGGAATTGGGACACACCTGAGAACTTTGACACAGGAAATACATAGGCTATCGGAAATATAGGGAAGGACACAAACACAGGTGTATCACAAATTGACAAGTGGGATATACTGAAGATAAAACACCTGTGTACATCGAAAGAATTCACCAAGAGAGTAATAAGAGAGCCCACGGATTGGGAAAACATCTTTAGCAATGACCTATCAGACAAAGGCCTTATTACACTTCTAGCTTCCAAAAAGAAAAAAACTAGTTGCCCACTGAGGAGGTGGGCAAAGGACCTGATAGAAGTTTCACAAGGGCAGAAATCCATATGGCCAATAAACATCTGAGAAAATGTTCCCGATCATTAGCCGTAAGAGAAATGCAAATTAAAACAACAATGAGATACTACCCAACACCCTCAAAGATAGCCCAATTCAA